AGGTAGAAATCATTCTTCTAGCTCTTAAAGAGTTAAGAAGGGAGTAAATTGTTGTTTTTCTTTTGACTTTAACTTTGATTTTAGATTCGAATTAAGTCAAACTATTCCGATACGTTTTAATCTTTACTTATGAATCACATATTTCTTTTATGTAAAATTTTAATCATATGACCATTAATCCCCTTTCATGTAGGGGATTGTTGGATTTTAATTAAAGTGTGAATGACACCTAGAGGGGAAAAAAATAGAGGAAAATGAAATATTTGAAATGCTTCCTTTTACTAATAAGGAACTTTGTTTCTTATTGGATAGAAAGATAAAGATTATTGTGTTTATATATAGAGCATTTTTTTCTAGCCCTTGAATAGTTGAGAAGACGACAAGTCTCACATTGTCATCACTCGACTTTGGATTCAAATTCGATCAAAAGATTTGAATGATTGATATATCTTTTGGACCAAATTTATTTTTCATTTTCATTATTTATTTCCTTTTTTTTATATTTTTGAGTTCGCAGAAGTTCTGAAATTTGCAAAATAGTTTTTCCATTCTAACTTGAAGGAATTAATCCAAGTATCTTAGCAATAATGAGACAAATTAAATTATATAACTTTGTATAAGTTAGGCTAGATTCTACATGGAGACTATTTTCTTTATTTTTGTAACTAAAGGAGTAGTTATTAATGATGCAAAGATTAGTTCTACACAAATCAATTATTTCATTTTCTATCATACATAAAATAATACATAGATTTTCTCATACTAATTGATATGAACTTTATACATAACAATTAAAATACTACCAAGCGTGTTAGTTATGTTGATTTTAATATATGAATGCAATCAAATAATCCCTATGTAGCAATAAGGAAGCAGGAGATACTAGAATAGAATTGAAGTTGACAACTCAAACAGTAATTAAGCTTTTGCATAATATACTGTACTTGTATTGAACATATGATGTTACTTTTTTTTTTGGTTTCCCACCCAGTGTCCGGAGTCCATATTGGAGCTCCGACTAAATTTGAATCGCGCTCTGCAGGACTCATTCGTGGGTAACACTCTCAACATGATTTTCTCCATACCCAGGACTCGAACCCGAAACCTCTAATTAAGGATGAAACACTCGTACCATTGCACTACAACCCATATTGGTAACATATGATGATACTTGTTAATCACACAGGACTAACTAGCTAGCTTGTAGTCAAAACTCAAAAGGCAAATGAAATGATGAAAGGAGTAAAAACACCTACAAGTCTACAAGCTTATATATAGAGTGGTCCTTTATTATTCTTTTTTCCAGAAGAGGCAGAGAGAGAGGGGTGCATTGGTTTGCTAATTTCACATTTTTTTAGGCAAAGACCTAAATGATACCTCAGGTCGCTCTCTCTCTTTGGAGCTTTCACTACTAAAATGGAGTGCTTTTTTTTAATTGAAAAACACATTTTTTATAAATATTTGAGGGGTCATTTGGTTGTTTGGGAATTGGGATAAGGGTCCAAGATAAATTGTGGAAATATTTTGTTTGATGTTTGGTATAATTTTATATTTAAGAAGATAAAGTAATCTTGAGATTATTTATACCATTATGATTATGGGTTTTTTTACGCTATAATTTAGAGTGTTGGTTCAGTGACGTAATGCATAAGACAAAGGTTGAAGTGAAGATCAATGCACAAATCATATTCAAGAAATAAAGTTTCACGTATCTTGGGTTCGCAACAATAAAAGAAATTAAAGAGATTGATGATAATGTCACATCGTATTGGAGTGGAGTGGGTGAAATGGAGGTTCGCACCCAGGGTATCGTGAAGTGGTGGTTAGACCACATTGTTGTGTAAAACACAATGTTTGTCAATCAAGAATATCCACATTCAGAAGATTAATAACGAAGATGAGCATACTCAGATGAATGTACGGGCACACTAGAAGAGATATGACTAGAAACTGAGTTATAAGGGAAAAGGTGGGAGAGGCCTCCGTCCGCGACAAACAAAATAAGAGAAGCGTGATTGTTGATGAATATACCATAAATTACAGTTGAAAACTAAAATGGATAAAAGTAAATAAATAAACATTCAATCTGATGAGTGGATGTCTTCTTATTTTTTAAGAAAATTCAAGCTCATTGAAGTATAATCTTGTTCGATCAACAATATAGCTCTTGACTTGTCTCCTCCATGATATAACAATCTAACAATATTGTACAACTCAAACAACTCCAGATTAATTGAAGAGTCCAAAAAACACTTTCCTTCAATATAAAATTACTTTATTTTGTATAGTGAATAAATTTGAGACTTTCAAAATGTTTTTCCTTATCTCAACTATCTTTTTCACTACAGTACTAACATAAAAATATAAACACAATATAATATTTCTCATCCAATTTTGTATTTTTTTTCATCTCTTACTGCACAAGGATAAAAACATCATTTATATTGATGTAGGACTTCTTCCACAAATAAATATCAAGAATATGAATAGTAGTAGAAGATAATGAGCAAAACATTTAATTTTAGTTATATACGTGAATTACAAAAACTAATGACACCACTTTCTCCACTTTATGTTTCCTAATTATCATACACTTTAATATTTTAATTTTAATATTAAAATACCTTTATACACCAATATACACTGAGATTGTTCAGAAATGTAAAAGAAATGTGTGCATCATTAAGAAATTGTGAGAGGTTGCTATAGAAAGAGTTAGGAGAGACATAGGTAAATCAAAGTAGAACTGGAAAGAGGCAATTAGAGGGTGTGACTCAACTCCGTCTTATTGTGAGGACATGACCAAAGATAAAAAAGTATGGTGGTTGAAAATTATAGTAGACGGTTATTAGATAGTCGAATGTGGTAACATTTCCTATGATAGAGGGAAGGGGCTAGCCTCATCCTTTCCCTCTCTTTTAGTAGTAGTAGGTAGTACTCGCTTACTTTCTTATTTTTCATTGTGTGGTACTATGTATTAATTTATTTGTTTTATATCTTACAAATTTATTATCGTATTTTCTCTACTTCAAAAAGTTCTCTTTTAAATCAAGAGTAACGACCTCTACCGTCAAAAATAAGAATAAAATTTGCATATATCTTATCCTCTCCATACTCACCTATAAAATCACACTGAGCAAATGAGCAAGTTATTGTATTTTTACTACATCACACTATGTATTTTTAAGATTACTAATCCAGAGATCAAACAAAACTATGAACTTCTTACTATGAAAACATTGTCCCTGTGTTATTCAAAACTTCAGCCTGTCTCCTTTATTAGTATGATTGGACTAGAGCATAATTTAAAAAATTGTTAATAATTCATATATTAGGATTCATAACTTTCTGTTTACAAATTTCACTATGGCATCCCTCTCAGGTGGCTGCATATACAAAATCTCTTATTTTTCATCTTACATATGCAGGAACACATGCAAATGCATCATAAAAGGAAAATGCAAGAAGAGAGGAAGTGCAGATATGAGACAAAACAATTTCCCAACTAGAAAATATATCACAGGCCCTTAGTCAGGCTCCAATGCGAGCACCGGACACAAAAAAAAAAAAAAAAGTCTTCTCCAAGAAGTTCTTTATTTCTCTCAAATAGTGTATGATACCATTGCGAGCACAGAGCACTAGACAGCTTCACCAACTCCCTGTTGGTGCATTATAATATCAGCAGTGAACTGGTCACTAAAACCACAAGGTAGACGAAGGGCTGTGCCACCCCGCTTCCTTAGGCCAAGGAAGGAACCAAATCCAGCTACATGATTGGTTGCTGACATTGCACTTTAACAAAAGCGCTGAACCTGCAAACTGAAATCTCATTAAGCAATTTGGTAGTTATTCAATCTCAATATCAGCAGAATCTGTTCTACCATTTGACTTATATAAGTAAAAACAGGTTATGATATCAAATTCTGATGCAGAAATGGAAGATTAGATATAATCCACTGAATATGAAAATCAATACGGTAACAAGAGAATGTATCTCAAACCAGATAACATATCAATCAAATCATACTGAATTAATAAAACATGACGATGCAAATGGAAAACATTGGCCTGCTGACCATCATACAGTAGTGAGTGGTTCATGAAATTTCTTTAGATTAAGCTGTATTACTCTATCATTTCTGATAACGTGGGAAACTGTTCTTTCACAAGATTTCACGTTATAACGCCTAGTATGAGATCAACTTGAGCATACTGGATTTCACATTCTATCGTTTCATTTCTCACCTTTTCAACCTGACTCTGATTTGGATGCTATAAAGTGCCAAGAGCAAGATTAAAGAGGATCTGTTGCTGGTATGTGATCAGAAGCAAGTTAAAACTGGAAGCACAAGCAGGACAATAGATCTAGATCACCATGGCAAATTTAGCCAGTCTCTGAATTCTCAGCAATTAAAAAGTTGCCTTCCAACAGACTGACATGGAATATTCATATGAACAACACACCTTTATTTAGAAAGAGGAGTCTTGATTGTTGTAGACCTCATGAGCTCTTCAGAGTTGCCAAAGACTCCAACCACCTCCAAATTCTCTGAACTAATATTGTCGTTGGCTCACTGCAAGAGGACATGTCAAGAACTAACATCTCTTATTGAAAAATATGCTGAGTATGTCTTCTTTTTTATCAAGTAAGGTTTTCTCATTGATAATAACAAGGCCAACTTGGCCGTATACAAGAGATATATAAAAAAAAAAGGAGAGACCTACAAAATATGGTTCTCTCCAAAAGAAACCTAATCCTCTATACAATCGGGAACTACATGGGTGCATGGAAAGAAAATAAGAGATCGGAAACTACTTTTGAATTGAGCACAAGTTCATCTCCACCCCTTCCAAAAACTCTCCTATTTCTCTTTCCAAATGATCCACATTAGAGCTAGAGGAGTAACATTACATGCCTTGTGCCTTCTTCTCCTCGCTCCACTCTTTAAACTGAACATCAACTCCTACACGGATCTTGGCATTACCTAAGTGACACCATGTAAACATATCCTTCCATAACCTCGTGGCTAATTTGCAATATAACAGAATATGATCCATGTCCTCACCAGTCTCCTTACATAGGAAACACCAGCTCATGTAGACAACCTTTCGCTTTCTAAGGTTATCTGCCGTCAAAATCACCCCTCTAGTAGCTAACCACGTGAAGCACACCTTCCACGGCACCTTTGATATCCATGCCGCACCATATGAAAAAAGATCCTCCACCCTCACCAGAAGCTTCTCATAGATGTTGAGTCGTCTTATAAGTGGGTGTTACCAAGCAGTAGAGTTAGTTATCATCATGAAGTTCTTAATAGAATAACCAACTACTAGTTTCACCAGAAATCTCCACAGGAACATATCCCATCCCTGAAATAGTGAAATCTTTTGGCATCTCTAACTATAATTTCTCGCTCTAGGTACTTAGAAGCTAGCTTACTGAAAGTATGGCAATCACTACAGACGCGGAGATTTTTTGTGATTCGAATGGGGTTTCTATCAGTACTGGCAAGTAAACTATATGCAATAGCTAGTCTTTCACTGTGTCCTTTAAGCAACTTAACTTTTTCTTTCTCCTCCACCTTGTGCAAAACATATTTGGTTTGAGCCACATAACCTGCTTCCTTCTCCAATTTCTCAGTGAGATAAGCTAATTTTTCATAAATCTTATCACACTCTGGGTGCGACTTATCTTGAGCAACAAATGTATGAACCTTATCTCCTACCTCTATCCAGCTACATGCAGGATCTTTCTTCAGCCCTTTTCCTTTCATTGTAACTCTGACTTCTTCCACATCATCCCATCTATTAGTCGCAGCATACACATTAGATACAAGAACATAATTTCCTGGATTCTTGGGATCTAGTTCAAGAAGCTTCATCGCAGCAATTTCTCCTAACTCTTTATTGGCATATACCTGACAAGCACCAAGGAGAGCACACCAGACGGCAGGTATATCCTCCAAGTTCATTGTTTTTACAATTTGGAATGCCTCTTCCAAGTGATTTGCACGTCCAAGCAAATCAACAAAACAAGCATAGTGTTCTGGCCAAGGCTCCAATGTGTACTTGCTTTGCATTATCTTGAAAATTCTTTTGCCATCTTCTATTAGCGCCGCATGGCTACATGCACGAAGAACAGCCAAGAAGGTTATGTGATCTGGGTGAATATTTTCCTTCTCCATCCTCGTGAATATATCGATTGCTTTCCTACCACAACCATGTAATCCACAAGCATTTATCATGCTCGTCCAACAAACTGGATCTTTGCTCTTTAAATAATTAAACACCTTATATGAGTTCTCCAGAGTCCCACAGCTGGCATACATATCTATTAGAGAGCTTCTAATGGAATCTTGCAGAAGGAGGCCTTTTCTAGCCAAAAATCCATGAATCTCTTTTCCTTTCCTTAAGGAAGATAGATCAGCAGCAGCAGTGAGCATGCTTAGGACTGCAACAAAATCTGCCTCGATTCGCATTTCATTCATACAGAGCATGAGACCAAGAGCCTCATTTGCAAGTCCATTTTGAACATAACTGCACATCATGCTTGTAAAGGACACGACATCTTTAACTTCACTCAACCTAAAAATACTATTTGCATAGACCACGTTCCCACAATCTCCATAAACACTCACAAGAGTTTTCTGCATAAAAGGATCACATATTCCTCTTTTAATCACATAGCAGTGGATTTCTTTTGCAAGTAAGTTGCACCTCAACTCAGTACAAGCAAGGAGGACACTTCCAATCATAAGGGCATCAACATGGCTTCCTTCTGCCTGTACCTCGCGAAATAATTGCACGGCCCTCCAGGGAAAATTATTCTGAGCATAAGCAGCAATAATTGTAGTCCAAGAGACACCATCTCTATGCAGCATCCTACCAAAGACAGAGTCCATGTAATCTAACTTACCACACTTGGCATACATATCTACAAGAGTATTGCCAACCTGCAAATCACTATCCAAACCATTTCGCAGTGAAAAGGCATGAATTTCCATCCCATTTAACAAATTTCCCTGTCTTCCAGATGCGACAAGCATACTCATAAGTGAGACGTGGTCAGGTTTCTGACCTGCATTCATCATCTCATGAAACATATTAATCGCTTCATCATAAAGTCCATTCTGCACATAACCTGATATCATGGAATTCCAAGAAATGTTGTCCTTTTCTTGCATATGGAAGAATATTTTAGCAGCTTCATCTAATCTATTGTTTTTAATGTACATCATTAACAAAGCATTCGCAACATATGTATCAAAAGAATAACCCAATTTCAGAACAACAGCATGAATCTCAATCCCAAATTTTCCAAAACTTGTCTCCTCACATGCTTGAATCGCAGCAACAAACGTATACGTGGTAGGTTCAACACTGGCATTCAGCATTTCAACGAAGAGACTTAAACCTTCCTGATTCATCCCATTTATAGTATAAGCAGAAATCATAGAATTCCATGAAACAGTGTCCTCTTTTTCACTCATTCCAGTAAACAACAATGATGCTGCCCTGATATCATTGCACTTAGTATACATAGTCACCAGTGAGTTCACCACAAAAACATTAGAAATAAGACCAAGTTTTATCGCGACGCCATGTATTTCACTTCCACAGTACAAAATTTCAAGCTGACTAGTTGCCTTCAATGTACTAGAAAGAGTGTGAGCATCTGTCGCAACACCCAAGAAACGCATGTCCCCATACAACTCAATTGCTCTAATAGGCACCCCATTTACAACACAAGCACCAATCATAGCATTCCAAGTAAAGACAGTTCTTTCAGTCATTCTATCAAACACCTTCTGGGCATCACCAATTGACCCACACTTACCATACATGAAAACAATCTTGGTGTTCAAGAAAACTGAATCATCACCCGATAAACCCAATTTTAGGACATGGGCATGGATTTGTTGACCTTGTAGTAAAGTTTTTTCAAATGCACAAGTCTCAATTAAATTAGAGAGGGTAAAAACTGATTCTTTGATGTTGTCTTGCCGGCAAATTTGTTTGAGAGAATGGATAATGGCGGGTTTTTGAGAATTGGGTGAGATTTTGAATGTTGGAACTTTCTGAGAATTCGTTGTTAAAGTAGGTGGTGATGAGGAAAACGAAGACATGTTTTGGAATATCGCATTGGCAGCCATATTGTTGCATAAGAAAATTCCAAGAATCAAAATACTCTTTAGTAGTTTGAATAATGCTACTCTTTCACTACAGGATGTTTAAGGGCCCGTTTGGCGATATGGTATCATGATATGATATCATGATATAGAATCATGAGATGCAATTGAAGGTTTGTTTGGATATGCGATATGAAATTTTTGTGTTTGTATATTTTCTCATAAACATAAAAATCTCATAAATTGTAAAACTATTAAAATAGCCCCAATTGTTTACTCAATCTTATCAAATACACAAAAAATTATAAAATCGCATAATAAATTATTACAAAGTTATTTGTTCTCCACTTAAGTAATTGTTTCGTCTAACTTTAATTTAATAAAAAAAAACATAAATTGTAGTGTTGCACCGCTTTAGGAACCTCCTTTGCGATTACGATATGCTTGTTGCACCGCTTTAGGAACCTCCCCTTCTATATATGTTCCATCAATCGCACCAACACAATCCTACCAAATAAAAAAATATATCAATATTAGTTTAGTGAACATAAAATAAATTGAAAGCATTATAGAATGCACTTCATAAAAATAATGTTTGTAAAGAGTAATAAAAATAGTGCTTCCAAGACAATGCAAAGTCATAAAATAAATATTATCTCTTTAAACAAAGTTGATAGGAAATATGTAACTAAATACTAATAACTTACACATAAAATATAAAGGCTTAAGTCATCCATAGCCACTTAAAGTTGTCCTCATATTTCACTTAGACACCTCAATTAAGGGGTGTACCTATTAAACACCTCTCTTGTTCAAAACATGTACCTATTAGATACTTTTTAATGATGTGGCATCATAGGTGTAGTACACGCCTCAGAAGCGCGTGAAACCAATACAATTTACTTACAAGCCAATCAAAAACTTACATGTCAACATTTAAAAAATGGAGCAAAAGTCTGAGCATGAAAAAAATATTCCCAACAGTATCTTCTTCCCCAATTCCAAACCACCTTAGTCTTTTGCATTTTCCTCACCGGCTAAATCCTTTAGCCAACGTCTCTGCCACACCCCTTTCTGTATTCATCTTTATTTTTCCTTTCTACTATCATCCGTCATCACCAATATCGTCGTCTTTATCTTAATCGAAAAAGTGTCCATTAAACAAATGACCGTCAAAATCAAAAAATTCAAAAGAGAGTTAACTGATACAAAAAAAAATAAAAAATCTAACCTTATAAATTGTTGAAAAATTCAAGAGAGTTAAAGCTACAAAAGGAAATATAATAATAATAATAATAATAATAATAATCAGATTGAGTCAAAAAAATTCGGTGAGCATCCATTTTTTCCGACAAGACTAATACAAATCTAAATATAATTTCTTTGAAATTGTTAAAGAATTCAAATCCTAAAGAATCCACAGTACAAAAAAATATCAACAAATCTTAAATGATGTATGAAGAAGAGAGTGAGATCGGAGAAATGGCAGCTATGGTATTGATAAAAAAATTGCCAAATGGGAATAAAAGGAAGAGGGTAGGTAGCAGCTATGGTGTTGATGAGAGAAATATGGGGAAGATACTTGCCACTCGTTATCGGGCAATGGTGTTCCGGCGGACTAGTTCTGCCGGAAAGGGGTTATGGGTAGATAGGTTTGATTTTTGTTTTTATATTATTTTTTACCTTAAAATGCTTTTTATAAGATATTTTTAAATAATTTTTTGAAACTAAATGACATGTCAAAGTTTAATTTGTCATTGTGCCACGTCACTGCGAGTGAATCTCACACACTTCAAATTTTTGGCAGATTGTAGAAAAAAAGTCAAATAGGTATCAATTCAACGTGGTAGAGGTGTTCAATAGGTACAAGTCTTAGTTGAGGTGTTCAAATGAATTATGCGGACAACTTTAAGTGGCCGTGGATGACTTAAGCCAAATATAAATGTGCACTTATTAAGGCCATAAAAAGTAATGATGTGATTATAAATTTTATTTACATATGAAACAAATGGTTAGTAGATATAAATGTGGGTTGTTTTAACAAAATATAAACTCATGGATTAATTATTGTATTAAAAGATTCCAAATCATGATATGGAATCACCATATAATTCCATATCATGGTTTTTAGAGAATATAGTATCACCTCTCATGAGATGGAATCAGCGTAAAATTGTATGTCTAAATGCTGATTCCATCTTACGATACCATATCGTGATATGGTATCGCATGGCCAAACGCCTACTAAGAAAAATATAAAAAATTATGTAACAATAATAACAATAGTGTTGTAAAATGGATGTTCACATAACTCACAAGTATACTTTGTGTTGTAACATAAAGGCTGTACATATACAATATATTTTGGTACTAACATATATGTATGCACAATATGTATTGTGTGTAGATGAATATACACACAACATATAATGTGTTGTAATTTAACCATTCATATATTATACTTGATGGTCAATTATTTACGTGGCAAATAGATATCCATATATTATACTTGGTGACCAAGTATTCTATATATTATATTATCCTTATTTAGAAGTGAGAGTTGGAAAGGACCAACACTGCATTAATACTCTTATACAACATGCATACAATTTTGTACATTAACTTTTGACTGCATTAATTAGTTGTACAACGTGCAAAAAGAATTGTACATTAATAGAAGGACTAACACCAAGGACTAACATTGCAATTATTATTATTACTCATTACCTAGAAGGACTAACATTGCAATTACTATTATTACTCATTACTCCTTATTAGAATTATTATTATTACTCATTTTGCTCCTTATTAGAGTTGACACTTTAAAGCACGAACACGGCACTACCATGTTGTACACAAAGCATTTCAAATTGTACTATAAAATTAATTGTACCTCATTAATTGTACACGTGCCTTTCTACATATACAACAACCCACATGAAGAATTAATTTTCTGACAATTTTGGTTATATTTTTCTTTAAAATAATTATTGCCTTGATTTTTATTTTTATTTTTAACATTTATTTTTAATTTTAAAAGATTGGAAATTTTATGTTAAAAATTTAAATAATAGAAAAAATGATTTATTTAGCTTTTATCATCATCAATACTACTAATTTATTTGACGTTTTTTCTTAATCTTCATCTCATCATTAATGTTATTTATATAATTTTCTTAAATCACTTATTTTTTCTTTTTTAACTCTTTTATATTTTATTCTACTCTTATTTAGAAATGGGAGTTTTGAGGACCAACATTGCACTAAAGAGTTGGACTAAAAGCTATAGAAATTGTACATTGAGGCCCACCAAAAAGATGAACTAAAGTAACTTCATCTACTTCTACTTTTCTACACATATTTTTCTTTAATAAAATAATTATTGCCTCCATTTTTTTTAAATTTTTAACATTTATTTTTTATTTTAAAAGATTGGAAATTTTATGTTAAAAATTTAAATAATAGAAAAAATGATTTATTTATCTTTTATCATCATCAATACTACTAATTTATTTGACCTTTTTTCTTAATCTTCATCTCATCATTAATGTTATTTATATAATTTTCTTAAATCACTTATTTTTTCTTTTTTAACTCTTTTATATATATAAAAGTTGGATATGTAAATGATGATGTCACATTTCTTAGAAGCTAAGATTACTATTTATCTAATTTCTCCAAATTTAAAAAAAAAAATGAAGATATCATACGCAAATTTATGGTTAAACTTAAACTATTTGATTCTCGAAAAATAAAAAGTCTCACATAAAATGGGACAAACCAAGGATAACTCTCAATTAAATTTATTTCACTTTTTATTTTCCATTTTTAACATAATTTTTCAAGTTGGATTTCTAGGAATTCTATAGTAGACCCATTTAAATTTTACTTTTTTGTTTTAAATTAGAGAACTTAGCCGCACTTCGCGCGATCATTTAAATTAAATATTTTTGATTAATTTTATATTTACTTTGTTGTTTAATCGTAATATTATTATTTGTCTTAATAATATGAAGATTGTGAAAAAAAATAAAGCTTCACAAATTTTACATCTATTAAATGAGGAAGAATATATTTTTTATCAAATAAATTAAAATATATTTGCTAATAACAAATTCTTCCATTGCATGAAGTTCATCCTTTAATATATAATATATATTTCGGTCTACCATTCTCCTTAAATGTCTAAGAAATATCTCATAATGTCAAATAAGACTGTAATACTCCCTCTGTCCCTAATTACTTGTCCACTTTTAAATTTACACATTTATTAAGAAATCAATTAATGACATAGTGAGTTTATCATTTTACCCCTATTAATTATGAAGTAGATGAAAAGTTCTGCAATTTTCAAAGTAATTAGTCATTTAATTGAGGGTATAATAGGTAAAAAAATATTCTTTCTTGATTTGTCAAAATGGACAAGTAATTAGAGACAACTATAAAAGGAAAAGTAAACAAGTAATTAGGGACAGAGGGAGTACTAAACAAATGCATCAACAAATGAAATTTATATTTAAAAATATATTGAATAATGACGTAATGATACCTTAATAGAATTTCCTATCCATTTACAAAAAAAAAATCTTCACCCTTTCAATTTCGTTATATCTTCTTATTTAGTAGAAGAATCATCATTTATTATATTCTACTCCACCTTAATTTGTACCATCAGAGTTTTAAGAATAAACATTAAATTTTAAATCGAAATAAAAATTCATTGAAAAATGACAGAAAAAATAATAATAGTATATGAAAATTAAAATAAGGTGCAAGAAAAGCCTTTTCACGATAATTTTTTGAAATATATTGACAACAATTAAAATGAAGCTGTTATTTTATCTTTAAAATTAAGTTTGATTGAATTGAATTAGTACAATGAGAAAAAATATTAAACTAATAACTTTTTCATGTTATTAAATGCTTTTTTTTTTAATTGAGTAGTAGATTAAAAGTTCCGAATTAGGATATTAAAATAATATCTTACTCTCTCCTTAATTATTATGGTATTGCAAACATTTATTTTCCTTAAA